AATGTGGTTTGGATTTAAGTTACTGGGGACTGATGCGACAAAATCTCAGTGTCAAAAAGCTCGGGATACCTGTGCCTCGACCCTCGGTATGTCTAAAAAATCGTACTAAGAGAAGATTGTTACGGAATCTATAGAATATCCTAAACGCTTGTATTCGTATATAAACCAAAGGACAAAAAGAAGAGGAAATATTTCTGCACTATGGGGAGACAGTACCGTCTCATCATTAGTGAAGGACGACTTTGGTGAAGCTCAAGTATTCTAAAACTACTTTAGCAATGTATATACCATAGAAGCACACTTCCCGTCAGCGCATACAAATCCCCCCACACATACACTGGATAGCGTGACCATTAAAGAACTCGGTGTTTTTGGTCTGCCAAATAAGCTCGACATGGGTGAATCCACGGAGCCCAATGAATTGCATCCTAAGCTACTACAGGAAATATAGAACCTCGTTGTGAACCCTTTAATTATATGATTTGATCTACCTGTAACCCAGGGTCATTTACCAAAAGACTGAAAAAATGCCATAGTAAGTCCTGTCTTCAAAACAGGTACGGAACATAAACCTGAGAATTACCGACCGGTTAACCTAACTAGTGTGGTTGTTAAAATCTTAGAAAAGATTATTCGGAAGGAGCTGTTTAAGTATCTCGATAAAAACCGGATCCTTTCGGAGAAGCAGCATGGTTTCAGAATAAGTTACTCTTGTCTCACTAACTCATTAGTGGCTCGTGAAAGCTGGTGCGCTTTTAAGGACCAAAAGCTACCTGTAGACGCAGCCTTCATTGATTTCAGTAAAGCTTTTGACAAGGTTCCGCACAACTGGCTCTTATATAAGTTAAGAAATGTCGGGATTGGAGGCAATTTTTTGATGTGGATAAAAGACTTCTTAGTTGGGTGAACTCAAAGTTATCTAGCTGGAGAACTGTGCTATGTGGTGTGCCTTAGGGTACAGTCTTGGGGCCATTGTTATTCCTGTTGTATGTAAATCACCTTCCTCGCCAACTATCATCATCGGTCCTGCTATATGCTCACGATGTCAAGATATGGAAAGTGATACGAAGTAAAGGTGATAGCTTAGAACTCCAAAATGACCTGGAGAAATTAATTGAATGGTTTCAAGCCTGACAGTTGCCAATAAATACTCCCAAGTGTATTGCGATGCATATCGGTCATCAAGGTACAGATACATACACGATTAATAACACTGAGCTACCTGTTGTCTAGACACACAATGACTTAGGGTTCGTCGTTAGTCAAGACCTAAAGACTACTCAACACTGCCGTGAAATAGCCGCCAAAGGTTACAGAAATTCGTGGTCAATAATTAGAGTCTTTTATTCTTGTCGACGCTAAAAAGTTTTTGACTTTGCAAACAGTATTCGTACGTCCTAAACTTGAGTACTGCATACAACTGGCTAGCCATTGCTTAAAACAAGACAGTGAACCTTTGAAAAAGGTTCAGAGAACAGCAACAAAGCTGATTCCTGGAATAGCGAAGCTTCCGACTGATGCTCGACTGGCCAAGCTATACCTTTTCCCGTTAGTCATATCGTAGAACTAGAGGCGACTTGATTACAGTTCTCAAATTGCTGAGTGAAAAATTTGCACCTGATACGCTATCATTTTTCTTGTTTTCCAAAACAGAGAATTTACGAGGACACTCCAAAAACGTTCACAAGCCCAGGACAAATTACTTGTCAGTTGACTATCGACTTTCTCATTGAATGATCAACAAGTGGAATTCTTTACCTCAGCACGTGATTGAGGCTACATCCATCGGCTTTTCCAAAAGAAAGTTGGATCAACTGAGAGACCACCATTGCCAAGACACAGGCCATCGAGCCTCTTGTCCTTTCCAAACTGGAACTGACATGTCAAGATGCGTTTGATATAGGCTGGCTAGCAGTTTCAAGGGGTGCCAAGCATAGCTTACATGATCTGATCTCGCCTGAAGTGCAAATCCACCGGTGAGAGATCAAGAAGGACTTCTTGCGTTTAATGAAGGTCGAGAGTTTCTTGTTTTAATGAACTACAAACACAGGTTTTTTGTTGCTATTTAAGCCGTATTTTTGAGCTATTTACTGCATATCGTGTAAGTGGTTCTTTTGAAAACCAAAGGGGTTAAAATGAAGTACAACCAAATACGGAAGGCTTCTGTATGAGTCATTCAAACTATCTGGAACCAGTTTGTTGTTTAAATAGTTCTACAAATCCATCTTATTGTAGAATGGTTCTTGTGAGATGTGCGATAAATATAGAATGAATGATTGTATAGAGTGTACTGAAGGGGAGTATATGCACTTATTTTTATCATGAGCTCAGACCTTAACTCCGAAGATAACTAAAAGACCGAACAGGTGGGTGAAGCCTGGCACAAACGAGTGGAAACTATTCCATACTCTTGTTAATGATCCTGAATTAGATAATGCAATATTTATGCGACATGAAGTGGCCAGCAAAGAAAAGTTTGTGAGATACAAGCTTTTGGATGATGACTGAGTTTGCATAGGCAGACCGTCGACATTTTGCTATGTGAGGCCATAGTACTGAACCTATCGAAGAAGTGTATTTATGTCATATAAATACTTCTAAGTGGAAATAAAAAGAAAATGGGCAAACTGTCGGCCCGTAAAATAAAAAAGAAAGGCCGTATCCCTGAGATCTCTAAAACGCTTCTGATTGGCTCGTCCATAAATTAGAGTCTCACCGACTGTTCTTGTATATCTTGTCGATAAAACGTTAAAAAGCCAATTATCCTTTAATTTCTTCCAGCATCAAAATCAAAGTTTTAATTCTTAATGCTTTGTATTTTAAAACTGATGGTTATTACCTATGTCTCTACACTTATCAACCAGCCCAGATAAATTTGTGTTACTAAGCAAAATCATAGGCGCATCCTTGGTTGTTTCGACAACTAATAGATATGTCTGCAAGGGCACTGTGCGTTCATTTCTTCTATACAAAACAACGGAGTAAAGCTGATTGCATGCCACTTAAATAGCTTATGGTGAAGTCTGAGTCGTTCAAATATTTTAATGACCAACAAACTTGTCTTGAACCTTTGTTTTTGACAGAAAATTGTCTTACTGTAGTGGTTCTCGTGGGAGTAAACGAATAGGCACTTCACTACATCGTCCAAAGTATCTAAACTTTGTAACGATCATGTTCGTTCTCTTAAAACGCTATTAAAACCCGAAATAAACGTCAAAAACTTCATATTTTATGTGGTACAATGATTTTATTGAATTACATTAAGGAATATATAGCTTAGCATCAGCTAAATTGATTTAAATATATTGTGGTGGACCAGACAAATTTGAACATGAAAAAGTGTTAGCCAAGTTATAAAGGGTAAATAATAATGTTAACAGTTACAAATACAACAGAAAATTTGGGACTTTACTTAAGTTCACCAAGTTGACGCGTCTTCGGATTGGGTCTGGTACTAAAATTCCACAACTATAAACGTTCAGTAATTCCGCTCAGGTTGTTGGACTCTCCAGTAATGTAAACCAATGTTAGGTATGATATATTCCGACTCACAGTCTGTAAATGCAGATAATGTTTGATTTTTAATGCAGCTAGCTCAATCACAGACGAAGGTAGAACAAGGTATGTGTATATAGCAATGTATTTGAGAGCAAGCAACAGTATGTCACGCTATGTCAGTAACACGACGGATAGTGTGTTCAAGGTCATTCACTAAAACAACAGGTACAGTCATTTAATGATAAATATACATACAGTGAAAGATTGACAAAATAAATACAAATAATATTAAAAACTATTTACAAAATGAACTTGTCAGTCATATATCCTTAATATGAACAGTGAAAACAAATTTGTGTTTAAAGTTCGATATGAATAGTCCTAATAACTAGTATTAAACTCTTATTCTATATCTCGTTTAATGAATCTAGTTAGGTAGCTAGATCAAGCGGATAACATAAAAATAGATTACTAATATTACCAAGTTCTTGAAAGCGGTTCGCACAAATATCTTTTATGAGGAAAGGAAATTAAAATGTTTGAAGTTAAGGTTACTTAAATTTTTTCAGGGCCGCTCTAGTCATGATGAGCTGAGTACTAACAAAATGCCGGCTTGGATATATAGGGCAACTTTTAAAATCGTCTGTTTGAGTTTGTGGAAATTGATCAAATTTCATTGAAATCATGAAGTTATAGATTTGAAACCATTATCAAAAACCTGAAACCGACGAACAGTGGTTTCGCCTTGGCATGGCATTGGTTGGCTTTAAGGATTGACACCGTTGAATAGAAACTCAGTGGTTTGGAGGTTAATAGTCCTCGTGTGATGCGAAGAATGTTTGGTTTGAGGCCCGCGTGTAGGATCGTGGATGAACGCTGACAAGTAGTTCCATACAAGGCCAAAACCACCGTCCATTGGTTGCAGGTTTTTAATGGTCGTCTAACATTGACCGGTTCATGATTTGAGGTTAACAACACGCTATACTGCTTATAAAGTGTCACGTGTACTACAGAGTGGTGCATCAAGTACATTTTTATGCCAACGAGACCAGGCGTCAAGAATGAAGGATTTACAACAACCACAAGTAATTGGCATTTTACATCTCTGAACTATGGGTAACTAAAAGATAGGTCACTAAATATGGTGAGCTTACTATCGTGAGTGAAAATTGTTGGTTAGTCATATATTACAACCAAATGGGTGTACAGTGTTCTTTGGTTTGTAATATCTGCCGAGCTTACACGAATCTGTGATAAAACCCAGCCATAATTCTTACTAATTTCCGCAAACCTATCAGCTGAATATATGCTAACTGACAACGCACATACTACAAATGTCAGCATTTATTAATGACATGACACTGAACACTGTTTACAAAGAATCGCTAAGAAGTAGAGCAGTTTCACTCATTGAGTAGTTTTAAATATTGCGACATATTTGGATTCAAATTAACCCAGTTTAGTTATGTTTATTCATCTTAATTTTTTTCAGGACTGAAATCATGGATTTAATTGGACCAACAAAAGAAACTTTATTAAGTGAAATAATTACGAGAAATCAGGAAGCAATATATGATTCAACTAAAAAACGGCCACTTGGATGTTCATCCATACAAGATTTACCACCTCATTTGGATAAATATAAAACAACATTTGGAATGATATATGAAAAAGGTAAAGTCAACGTGATAATTAAATAAATGTACTGATCGTAAAAAGGTAGTGATGAGTGAACATGCGAGGTCTACATTGTTTACGTTTACTAAAAATTAGAAAGAAATATTTACCTTGGGTGTTGTAATTTGTTATTAGGACACAAAATAAAAACTGATTTATTGATCTGTTAAATCTAAAGAATAGACTGACATGATGAACAATATCCGTTCACCTTCATTGTATGATCTTTTTAACTTCACTTATGTCCTACTGTTTTATGTTCATCTTCAAAGTGGAATGTCAGCTTAATTTTTGAAACTATATACAATAATTGGATATATTAGTGAAAAAGGTACTCTTTAACAACAATGACAGCTTAGTTATCCTGTTCAATCAGACAAAAAGTTAAATGACCATAAAGGTTAAAACATACAAGTGTGCTCAGCTTGAGTAAAAAGGAAGCATGCAATTACGATATTTTAACAATAATATTAGATAAAACTTTATTTTTATAATTGCTGACTTATCTTGTCAAATGAAATCATCTTTGCATCGAAGATCAAGTTAAGCAACAAAATGGATCCGGTTGTTTGTTTTCATGACCTCATTTTAAGTATAGAGAGTCTCACAAGAAATTAAGTACTGTTGTGTCACAAAGTTAATGCCATCATCTTGATTGCTATGTTACCAAAATGTAACCGGAATTCTCATTTATCTAGGGGAAAGAGCCGGAGATTTAATAAACCCACGAAGAAAACGTATTGATATTACAAATGAAGAATTAGAGAATCATCAACATTATCTCATTTCGCATAAACATTTATCCCCTGGTGAGCAGGCGCATAGAAATTATAAAAAGTTAGTCAAATTGCATATCTGCAAATAATGTTTACTGTTAAAACATGTATGGATTAGTGAGTTTATGAGGTATACATCTCTTAAAAATATAAAATAATCGAGGAAATATAACTCCTTAATTGTATCTTTATCATCATGGCTCTCAACTAAGATAAGTTTCATTTTATAATGACTGATTACTGAGTGGTGAATAATTTCATGTTTGTCTCCTACTTTGATGCCAATTAAATTCTGTAAATAATGTTGCAACTTGACCACTAATTCAAGTAACTTGCTATCACATGAAATATTTTGATGTTAGGTTCTCATATGTAATCGAAAAGATATTCTTAATCTAAGCTCCATACAAGTGGCTTACCTGGAGTTTTATCCGTAAAATGCAGTCATCACTCAATCCGATACAAATATAAAAATGATAGCAGTTCAGTTGTTAATCAATGCAAATACCTCAGTTTCACAGGAGGTCCGCTGTAGTTCAAATGGCTCATTGGCAAAGTCACAGATTATGAGACTGGTTCACCTGGGTCCAGATATTTAAGAGGGCATCAATCCATTCAGCACTCTAGATGCGTCTTGGTAACAAGTGACAATTGAAATGTAACTTAGGGTCAAGGTTTTTTTTAAACTATCTACAACTACGTAAATCTATGTTGATTTGGCATTTACGAATAAAAATGAACGTAGGACTAATGGTAACCAGTCATTTAAATGTGTACCACAAATTTGCAATAGCACCTTATTTGAGAAAAAATGAGGTAAAGCCTTAAGTGGCAGTTTATTAAACTAGTTGCGTGAGCGGTAAAATAAAAAGCAAACTGTGAAGAAGGGTGTATGAACGTTTTCTGGAAACAAAGATCAGATTTTTATTATAAGTTCCTGACGCCTGTGATTTATTTAAGAGGTAAAATGTAGAAGCATACAACTGAGTAATTAAAGTTAAATATATGACTTTAAATACCACCTTCATATGTGCTTTATTTTGATAAAAGGATTACAACGCACTGCTAATTAAATAAGCGAATACTAAATCGAACCATGAAAAACTTGAACTATTACTGAATTTCGCAAACTCATAATTTGTCATTAGTCTAGAACTGACGAGTTAAAAGATAATCATGGACTCAGTGGTGATTAATGTTGAGATAAATTTCAAAGGTTCTGGTGTGAATTTTCGACTGGTGGAGGTGAACCGTATTGCGAGTAAGACTGTTATAAATGAGGCAAGTGGTTGGTCGTCATGTTGTTTTGTGAAATGAATGGCATTAGAAATATGATGCTCTGGATTTAACTTAAGTAATCCAAAGGCAATATGCACGCTGTGAGACTTTAAATCCCAGGGTACACATTACTGAATAGTCGATGTTGTTCACTACTACTACCTTTTCTTCAGTAGTTTGTCGGTTAAAGTAAGCTCGTAGCACATACGACGTGAAGACCAACGCGTTCAACTGATATCGCACATGAAGTGCTGTACACCAATATACACAGAAAATAAAACATTGAGATCAGTTTTTCACGCCCACAAGTTATAGATTAGATGATGAATCACCTATTTAAAATCATCCCGGAAAGTTTTCATGCATCGGAGTAGCCAATTACTGAGATATTTTGTAGGTACTCATTGTGGTGAATAATTACAAGGAGTTATCGCTTCACGTTGCTAAGTTTGGCACTGAATCGATATGTCTTTCCGGGTTCAAGCCCTAGGAAGGAATATAGACATCCAAATGTAGATTGACGAGTGTTCTACGGGAGAAAATACTTGTAGACTTTACTTTTAGTCATCGTCTGACAATATGCTTCGATATAATTTATCTAACTAAATATATCGATTTTGAGGATCTTTTCAATCCTTAATTTATTTAGCTGCGTAGATAAAAAACCTCAGGGACATTTTACACAATTTTATTGTTAAAACAAACATTACTACTGATCATATTGCTTTTTTTAATTACAATTATCAACACACCAAGTTTTAATGATAAACAAGTATTTGGTATGCATACAAATTGTGACCCACGTGGAATACACGTAGGTCGAGCTATGAATTGGACGTTTAGTGATTCTAACAATCAGAACATAGCCATTATGAACAAAACACAAAGTGATCACAAAATGAAGCATGGTGATATTTTGGGTAAAGTTAGAGATCCGTAAGTTATTTTTTTCAAACACTACTGTGTATTACGAAATAGTTACGTACGAAGCAATAGGTATTTCCCTTGTGATTCCATTTTTAAAGCGCATTAACTGTATTGGAATAGTGGGGAAAATTCAAAATGAACTGACCTCGTGTTATTATCTCTCTTAATGCATTTTAAGAGAAAAAAAACACTATAGGGAAGTCATTGAAATAACTGAAGCAAACAAACGGTAGCTTCAACGGTTAGAGTGACTATCCAATGATTGATGATTTCAATAAAAATCTGAGGGAAATGAATTTTCCATAAATGTCATATGATTTAAATAGTAAATTATATGCCTTATTGTGCTGGAAATTTTCATCTGGAAGTGCTTTTTATAAATTTCATTTATTTGGTCCAAAGCTCACTATCTGATCTCGTAACTGAAGCACGTCCTAGTATATATATAATTATTTTATTATTACACCTGAGCTTTAGAGTAAACGCAAGTATTTGCTGATATTTCGAGACAACATTGTGATATGTTTAAACTGGTACATAATATTTTGGAGGACCAAGTGATCGTTTAATTTAAGGTGTATATGTTGTTTTATGAAAGAAATAAGGTTACAGAGAATATTTCAAATAAATCTTAACTATGTTTATCAAAATGCCTCTAAACAAAACACAAATATACTTGAGATGAGTAGCAGGTTTTAGTTATTTAATTAGGAATTCTAACAAAATATCACCCTCACCATTCTGCATCAATAACTTTTGTTTATTGAGCAAACCACTAGTTAGTTACAATACAAAGTTAGTGATTGGACGTTTTATGCTGTAAAGAATGATTTGAGGCCACTAGTCTATTTTTATAAATTGATGACTTTTGCACCCTTCGAACATCTATCGCACTGTGGCATTTTTAGTTGACAATAACTGAAATATCGATCATTCAGTAAGCTGAAATAACATAATACCTAGTTCAAACAAACATTCGACTGAATCGCTGTACCATATGGACACAGTGAGATGAAATTAGTAAGGTATATGGGAAATATGTAAAACATTATTGAAACTGAAGATCTAGTGGAGAGATAAGAACCTATTCGTCTGTGCCACTGTGGTAGATCTTAAACCATCTCATCTACTTTATTTGTATTGGCTGCCTGAATCTTCCCATTGATGTGTTAGGACAGAAACTGATCAGTCTCTTTTTGACATATATATGCATCCTGCATAGATCGTCTCGATATTGCCAGTAAGTCCCAAGCAATTTACACAGAGATGGATGGTGGCTAGTAATGAAATCTAGAGCGAATTCTCGAACGAAACGCGCGTCCTGGATTCCACAGCTAGCCACTATCTATCTCTGCTTATATCCCACCCACTTTTTACGACCATTGATCACTATCATTGATCGTGTCGGAGATAAAACATCTACACCTTTGCAAACATTCGAGTTCAACAATCAGCAAATTCATGGAATGATCCCATGACTTAGTTTGTCCGCCTCAAGCGTCCTTCCAACGTACTTTTGAGGAATAACCAGTAAAAACTTGAATGAAATGATGTTCAGGACGAGGTGACTGAATCTAGCAAGTCGAAATGTGTGTGTACGTAGTTTGCCTTTCTTATTTTGAAGTGTTAGCAATATTGTACTGACAATGTGAAATGATTCGAGACTTTTAGGCATACTTCATACGTTAACTTTTTACATGAGGTTATTTATTTTAAATCCATCTTTAGATTCATCAGGTGACAAATTAGATAATGAGGAATACTGAACATTACAATCGCATGTGTTAACTCAGTTTACTTATCAAAGTAACATTAGACGGTATTAGGAGCAACAGTATGTGTTTTGGTCTTCATCTGTTAACCAATTTTTTCGATACTTTGTGATGTATATAGTTAACTGAAAATTTATATCTCAAAGAGAATAACTATGATTGATGTGATGAATAGTTAAAGTAAGTTAGGTATCCCAGTTTCCGTATGAATTGAACAGGAAACAAATGAAGAATAAGTATTATAAAAGTAATATTTATTATTTTTATTTGCTTATTCGCATTGGTAATAATGAAGTGGCTCATGACTAATCATATGACATTATATTCTGATTGTTAAAAATAGAATACGTGATACAATGAAAATTCCTGATGATCATATATTTGGGTTAATTAATAAAACTAATGATATTACAGTTGGCCAGCTACTACATGGTTTATTACCAAGAAATATATCTGGATTATATACTGACGACAGTAGCATTGATAAACAAAGTGAATTCAACAAGAAAAAATACACAGAGTACAGTGATAGGTTCAAATTAATAATGTCGGTTATTCATCATGCTCTTAGAAAAGCACATTACACACATGGACCAGAAATTATCGCCACTCTTTGTCAACTAGCTAATAAGGTAAGTCAGTGAAGACGTACGTGGTTTTGATTACTTATTGATTTCACCAGTACATTAGGAACTTGCTTCTAGACATGTTTTTGAGATGATCAATGGAGTTCAGTGATATTGGGAGTAAGACAATGATTAATCACTGGTCTATACTACAAATAGGTTGAAATTAAAAAAACAGATTATTAGATTCTGTTCCAGTGGTATAAAGGCTATGGTTTGAATTACTATTCGGAGGAAGGACAAAATAGATGTATAATGTTTCGTGATTGGCAACGATGTTTCAACTGGTATAAATCTATGATGAAATTCAGTAATAAAATAAAAGGATCTTTATGAAAATCTTAACAGAAGGATATAATGAGTAACAGTGGATTCCCTGTTGTAATTTCGTATCAAGTAACTGTGATAAAGCTTAAGTTGTATGAAAATTATTCGTCACAACCTAATTATTTGACTGGTTGAAGAGGATTTATCACAGAGAAAGAATATCAGTGGTGTTGCTTTATCTGTGTTGAATGGATAAACCATGAAGCTCTCATTAGATGTAGTTAAACACAGCCATCAACGGAAGTTTTCAGAAATTAGGCCACAAAAAATTGGTAGTTTGTGTTGTCAAAATGCTATTTGAGTGAATGTTATCAATAACTGTGTTGTCATTGTTTGTGCATCCAGTTTGACTGTGCTGTTTTACATAGTTTAAAATACAACACTTTACATGATAATCAGTCCTTTTTTATTCGAAAACGGACTGGTTCTATCCAATACCATCCAATTTTACCGAATAGTGAATGACCTGAATGTTATACCCTTGATAAACTCCCTAGTCATCTTTTTGCTCTATCTCACCAATTTTTCAGAGGTTTTATTTAAAGAGATAAAGCTTTAGAAATAATTCATCCAGTCAAGGGAATGAAAAATCATTGAAAAATATCTGATCATATCTTACTTTTGTACTCAGTGAAGACAACTTATAAATGAAAAATATTTGTTATTCTAAATTCGGTAAAAGTCTGTTTTCTGTTTGAAACAGTATGCAACAATTGAACGTACTTGCAAATATTTTTCGTTGAGGTCTATGTGTTTTTATAAATTTAAGGGACTGCTTATAATCGGCTATAACAAGTTAAAAAAGACCACTGTCATTAAGGCTGAAAACTCTGAATCTATATTTCATGCAAGTGGATACTCCCTAGCCTGATGTGTTAGAGAGCACAAGTGCCCTGCCTTTCATTGTAGCATTTGTACCTCTTGTTACTATTGGAATTGCGTTTTAATCGTATTTCTAATTGTTTCATTTAAGCATATGTATATGGTAAAATCACTAAAGCATTTTGCAGGGAATTTCACAGCTTGGGAAGGAATTTTGTCCAAAATGTACATCAGGAGAACTAGTGAAGTCTAGAAAGCAACGGACAGCTATTACACAATAGATTGAGACTAACTAGTAGTTTCACGGACGACGTTTTTGGGTATTGAAATCAAGATCTGAGAGTTTTGAAGAAAGCGCGATACTTTAGAAAACTAATTTCATCATCACCCGATTTTAAACAAATGTAATCAGTGAGCATTGGATTGGGGGGTCCGACTTATTCGCAATAAATGCTTCCTAAATAATACTAAAGCCCCTATCCGAAATTAGAAAACTGAGACTGGTAAGAAAATATAATTCCAAGAACCAAATTTGTAAATTTATCTTTCTGCCCCAGGCACAGACACCTTAGCTCAGACATTTTTACCTCCTCCAACGCATGCCTCCTCAGAAATATCTCGTTCGCGACTTCGGATGGGAGGTGACTGGTTGTCTTTATAGACGTCACGCGGCCTCTCTAGACAAGCCCAGTCTTTCTGTGAACTAATTTTCCCTACCTCGTCTACTGATTGCCGATTTTGGAACAAGAGAAGAAAATACAATCTTTTATAAAGCTTTTTCTCAGAAAGGTGCTCTTATTGCCGTTTTGGATTAACTCGAGAATATTTTGTTTCACAAATGGAGATGTGACAAGTACAGCATTTTTCATTGAGCTACTAATCTAATTGATTTGACGAAAACAAACTGTGTTATCTAAAAGATAGTGGAGTTATGAGCCTAACAAGTTGTAAGTTGAAAGAAAGCATACTTGTTCTTTATTCCCTAAGAGTTTATGATAATCAATAGTTATGAAAATAATAATATAACCTATACATTAGATTTCATGTACACACATACCTTGTTTTCACTCAGTCTTGAATATTAAGTTAAGTAAACATGAGTTTCTAGCACCGAAGTAATTATGTACTTTTTTTTTTCTTTTTTCAAAAAAACTTTAGTCGAATCTTATTCCAATGATTGATGCACGTCAAATTTTTAATCATTTTCAAGTACCATTAGATGAAGAGTTAACAGAACATTTATTTGATTTAATCACAGTACCAGCGTCAAATGCAATGATTGAACATGTTAAAGAATGTATAAAGCACAATAAAGCGAACAATATAAATAATGAGAAACATTATCATATTGAGAATGATATGATTAATTGGGCAATTGATTGGTGTAAATTAAGTGAATTATTGAATTGGAATAATGATAAATCTATGCGAAATTGCTGTTCTGGTTTTACTACTATTACTAGTAATAATAATAGTAGTATTGTTAAACCAGAATGTTATGAGGGTACGTTAAGTTCGAAAAGTATTTCATTAAAGTATAGTTCCATGTGGTAGTAATAATAACCCAAAAGTATTAGTTTCGCAGTTTGAATTATTACTATACCAAACCAGGAATGGATAAGTCCTTAATGATTTTTGCCAACATATTCAACGCAGCTTGCTTTATCTGGTTTTTTTAGATGAATGGGTGACTTTACACAAGGACCTGATGCACCATGATTTTAAATTTCTAAAAGAATAGCAAAAACTATTTTGTAAGAGATCTGTGTTAGCGTGCTTTTCCAACAGTTGAGGTGTTCTTGTCGTATATCATTAGTTTGGTTGAGTTAATATTCATTCTTTACCTTATAAATAATGGACATCATGTTATCTTAAATTCTTAGATTATTTTTTGACTAGGTAAATGTGATTTGTATAAGTTGATGACGAAAATATTGTTACGGAAGTTATTTCTAATATAAAAGCCGATTTGATACAACTAGATAAATCTGCGAGACTATAATTTATGGACGACCTTTGAACGAACCCTAAGTGACCTTGACAAATATTAGCCAATCAGAAAACGCCTAGTGTAGAGTAAAAATATATACAAAACCAAAGAATTAAAGTGAATACACTTCTTTTACATGGTTTAAAAACTTGTTAAGGTTCGAAAGAGGTTCAGAGGTTCTTAAATCGCAATGCATATGGTAGAGGGAATCATCCATATGGCTTCATAATAGTCGGCATCTGGAGCCATGATAAGGTCGCAAAAACCCTTTCAGCCTCAACCACATAGCTTCAATAGTGTTTGTGTGCACTCCGGTTGTTAGGCTCAAAAAATATCACTTGTGGATAACGACACGATGCAAATAATCAAGTTTATGTAAGTATCTGTACACTCTCCAATCACCTGTATATATTGTAGTACCCGGTAGCAGTCAGTGTTACGGGTGCTTTTTTTATTCAGTCATAGTTTACCATAGTCTTGATCTTGATCGAGCCAAAAAATCATATTCTAGCAGACTTCTTCCTCCGTCACATATTAAATCGGAAGACTACACCATTACGGTAGTCCGCACAAAGTTCATAAGTCATTTGATTACCACAGTCACAAATGAAGGAACTTTTTAGTAGTCCCATTTGTTGTAGTTGCTCAATTATAACGTTTTCTCTCAAATCCACTGTGAACCGATCGTACGTGAGCATCAAGTACTGAAATTGACTCCGTGATCTTGAAATTCCCCAAACACTTCTGATTGACTCGTCCATTAATTATTGTCTTGCCGATAAATCGAACAAGCACTACACAACAACACGCTATAAAAAGTCCCGAAGTATGAAGAAAGGAAGAGCAGTTATGCTTCAAAAAAGACAACTAAACTGATCAATATCACAGAATAGTATTTTAAGAGCGAGTATCTAATAAGGATAAGTGGTAAAGGCATGCGCTATCATATCCAAACATTCTTGAACTGTGAAAGATCAGGATGATAATGTTAAACCTACTATTATGGTAAAAATGTATTTAGTCCTTATTGTTTCAAGTTAGGAAATATTATTACAGTAGGTTGATTGCTTACCCGCCAATTTATTCAACGATTCTTGATTAAGTTGGTGCATGAATAAATTTTAAGTTTATAAGCTTGTAATAATAATTTCTATCAAGAATTAACATGATTAGATAGAGATTTGTTCAGTTGAAGAAAATGTTGACATCCAGAAAAAGTAATGAGAATGTAGTTCCTATCCGAATGGAACTTTCATGTATTGAAGCTAATACGACTCTTTCAGACCAGTGAGTCGGCTAACACTCAAAAGTTCACGTTCATATCTTCAGTTTATGAGTAAAAGAAAAAATGAAAAAACCAATTATTTCTGTTTCATTCTATACACTTGGTTGAAATCAAGTGGTCATGATTTCTCATTAGAACTTCAAAAAATTCTTCTCGAAGCAGGTTATCATCAAGATTTCTAATATTTTAGAAATACCCGGGTAGTTTATGAACAAAATTATCTTTTATCAATAATGAGGTTTTTAAATAACTTTATTTATTGGCAACTCGCAGCTTTAGGAATGAAATCGTCCCCAAAAGAAATCTATTCGCTTAATCACTTTCTCTTGTTTATCATTCATTTCATTATTGATTGGATTTCAATTCATTCTGATTTTTGATCAGAAATATATTCAGATTTATATTTTGAATAGTGGATTAATGTAAAATTGGAAACCCAGGCGTTTTAAGGTTTGTCAGATTGATTCATTGATATCATGGTATCGTTGGTACGTTGAGATTCTAATCCTGTACTCATTGTTTCAAACACAGGCGCTTTATTCACTAGTTGACTGAGTTATGTTAGCCAACAATATATGCCAAACAAATATAAGTCCTTAGAAATGACTATCAATAGTTAATTTTATTGAAATGTATTTTTTTAAATAATAGATACTGAAAATGTCCGCAGTCGTCTTCAACGTGCTATTCAAGCAAATATTCATCATTGGACAACAACAAATTCCATATACACTGGTAATCTTAATGGATTAATTAATACAGATAATTGGGAAATCCTTGGTGAAAAAAGCCTTCAACATGATAAATTAGTACCTAAGGTAAAATGCCACATTTTTCAAGGTAAACAAAATGCTATAACAATTATAGTCCTATCATAATACGAGTTTTTTTCCCTTAAGTAGTAAGTATTCTTTAATGGTCGCGATATGTCAATTTTGTGAAAAGTAATCATTTACTAACTTTAAATTATATTCAGAGAGGGGATTTTGTGGATATTATAGTAATTTTGATAGTTGGATTCTTTAGAAGTCCTGAGTAGTCTCACACTAGGATGAAACGGCCGTTCAGTGCTTCCAGGTTTTCTATGGTGATCTAGCTTTAATTGACTCATGAATTTAAATTATATGTCAATAAGGTTTATTAAAATCAATTACGTAACTTGAAGACTTGGTTTTTACTTGAATTATTTATCTAAGTGATCTGGTACAAGAAAATACGACTCGTGGACTGAAGAAGTAACCAGGTCTATTATAACATTTACTAATGACTTATTGAGAGAGACTGGTTGAACCTGACAACATACACCTCAATATTTTACTTGGTTTTGAATATATAACAATGAGCATTCTTCAAAATTCGAAGGAATAATTTGTTAGAAACTGGGCGCTCACTATGTAAAAGACAAAATATCAGTATCATACTGAAATGATGTCGACGATTGAAATTTAAATAATTTCAACGTTGGGATATTCTAAATTTTAATCACTGAGACTATTTTACATATAACTTGTTCATTTAACATTAGTGATTGGTGTGAGCTATTCTAAACCAATTATATTGGTCACAGACTGATTTCAAACTGATATCGAAATAACTGGAGCTGAAATTTTACCATGTGATGGCAATCGAATGGTGTCATTAATTAAGTGCTTGTCATGAGATGAGAAGGTTCTGGGTCTGATCAGTGGAGACATTCGTGATTACACAATGTTGAGATGTCCCATACCAAAGTGAAAGGGAGTTAAGAATCTTAATGGGAAATACATAATAGCAAGCTTTCCACAGAGAAAATCGAACATATATCCAGTGCTCCCTGGTTTTCAAGCACACTCTTATAAATATTAATCGTGAGAAAGAGAATGTCTTCAAGTTAATCAAAGTGATTAAGATCATGAACCGATTGATGTTAGACCACCGCGCGATTTCGTGGATTGGTTGATGTTAGACATTGACACTATTGGATGCCGGGTCAGTGGTTCAGTAGATTAAGTGTTCTCGCGCGAGTTTGAAGGCCTTAGGTTCGAACCCCGCGATGTGGATCGTGGATGCGCACTGCTGAGGAGTCCCGCAATAGGACGAAACGGCCTTCCACTGCTTCCAGGTTTCCAACGGTGATCTAACATCAGTCGGTTCATGATCTCAACCCAAAACTTGATAATCACCACAACCCCTATACTGGTAATCAAAGTGATTTTAAACCTTTTCAACAAGTAGTAATAACATTTTTTGGACTGAAAGGGGGAAACATTTAAAATATATACCATTTTATTTGTTGATTGTATTCAAATAGACCAAATAATATATGTGTTTATCTTGTTCCTTTGCATTTTATCAGTTTCGTAGAACTACTGATCACGCACATTACGGTGATGAAGCTGGTGTTGGATCAATTATAAGTCCTAGTATATTCACAGACTATGGATTAACTAACAGAGATCTACTAACTCTACGTAATAAACAAGATGTTAGTTTGTTTTCTTCAACAGTTTGATCATATTTAAATTTTCGATAGCATTGGCAGTAATGTAACAAATTAATCAGTTACAGGGTCTTGTACTAGAATTTAACCTCATAGCATTTCGTTTGAAGGCAAATAATGTCAACGTTTGATTGCTCAAATTGACTTGAATGAAACACTCAGTAGACTCACAATCACTTGAGTTTATCCCAAAGAGAACAAGATTTATTTTTTACGTTATTTATTTATTAATTGTAAAAAATTAGATTAGAGAAACAGACTGATGGGCTGTGATTTCAATTAATATTAAGTGATTGAAGACAGGAACCCTATAGATTCTTTATTAGTTATGACTTACTGGAGTGATATACCTAAAGTCTTGAAGGGATTGGTTGAATGCACATCGGTCAGTGACCAAGAAAAAAATTTTCTTGATTTTATTTTCATAAGTGATTTTATAATTGTTTAGTAAATTTCATATCAGATTTGGTTTTATTGATAAATTGCCTGGTTAATTATCATATCACAAGATGGTCTATCGAAAACTAAGTGAGTATGGAAATGTTGGCTCCCCAATGTCCTGGTACGGATGAGGGTGGGGAGAGTTAACTCTCCCTCTCGAAATGCTCTCACATGGTCACGCATGTAAAAATGTTTCCAGGAAAGTCGTACTCACTGCCTTCGTGTGGCGGGGGTGTTGCTTACGAAGTTGAGCGGACGAAAAGCGAATGTCCAGCGCTTTAACCGGGTTAGTGGATGTGAAGGGTTCACCCAAGGGAGTTGGAAAACCTTGATTTCAAACCAATGGTGTACATAGGCTCCAGGATCCTGAGGGAACAAATGTTTTATGAAGTTACTGTTGGCCACCGACTACCGTGGGACTGCATCTCTAAACGTTGCTCCACTGTCTTGTGGATCAGACCTTTAGGCCGAAGGCTCTGGGTGTGACCCCCCAAGAAAACCACCTGCTTCGATCTATGCACCCGGGCAGTATCACAGTCTATACACAAATCAAGTGACTTGTGTGGCGCAAGTGTATTCGGTGCCGCTTTGTACCAATATTTATGTGTTCAAATAAATAAAATACAAGCATTACTTTCGTAAATAAATGTTAAATTTACAGGGAATAGTTTAATCTAAGTAAAACTACATACAACTTCACTGAAAAGTTTTGTCTACCACCCGGAATAATTTGATATTCATGAGTTTATAAAAATGTCAGTGACAAGTGTAAATGAACTGATTATTTGATTTCCCTTATTGGGTTTTATATAATCAGTTCCAGTAGGTAAAAATAAAACTCAATAATGTTCATTTACTCAAGTAAGATTAGATTAAATACATTTTGATATTGATAAGTCTTGCTAATTGAACGTTATTCTCGTAAATCTCAAGCTAGAACTACACAGCGACCTGAACACTAGAGAAAAGGCGCAAAATATGCGAGAAGTACTTTACTCCAAAGTTTCGTTTTTGTGCAGAAAATATGGGGTTTTTATAGTATTTTAGATGTCCTTGGGTTTCCCGAAAATTCTGGGACGCTACTAAACATAGTAGCAATATAGTAATCAGCCATTCAGAAACTCTACATGTGACTCTTCACTTTCTTGATGTTTCTGGCTAAACTTCAACTGAACGCTGATTGGATAAAATGCTTCTTAGTGTTTCCTGAGCCTTTCTTGTCTTTTGCAGAAGTTTTCTGGATCACGCCAACAGATATATATACTAGAGTTTTAACTAGTTCTGAGCGAAACAAGTCAGGATATAGTGGTGCACAACACACATTATACCATGCAAGATAATAATTTTAAATTGATTTTTAGTAATGTCTTAAGTCATTTGCTTTTTTTAGTCTATACCAGTGATATGGGTATGGGTAAGCCTCTTCTACATAAAGATGAGCTTAAAGTAGTGTATTCATTTTCCCTTCATCATTTGGAGAATATACAGTGTTGCGCCAATATAGAGCTCAGTAAGATAGCCTAGTGGTGCTCAAAATGGCAGTCGGATGGATGTGCTTCGGTCATACATCGCTCAAATTAGGTCTTACTATAAATGGTCAGATATTATTTAAGTTACATTCACTAGTGAACTTGGGACTTAGATACTATTACAATTTGTCCCTCGCGGAACAGATCTCGAAAGAGTCTTCCAAGTCCCAACGTCCTATGGTTTGCATAATTCATAACTTCCATAACGAGTCACGTATTTTAATGAGTCAAGTTTGTGTTCGACCACTCCTATAACACTGACACAAATCATTTTTCACAATCTGTCCGTGAAATAAAATTACTGACATCCTTTGTCCGCTATATCGATACTTACTTTTCTTCTAAAGACAGCTTAGATGTGCTGACACCTGTAAGTATATCTCATTGCACAAGTGAGATTATAGTAACTTCAAATACTTAATAGTTTTTATTATTGAATATGCTAAGTAAACCTCCGCGCAGTTGTTACGTTACACTAACATCGTCCCTGATAAACTTAACTAATTTGTGTAATAACCTGACACATGTTATGGTAGACCCGACTGACCTATCGTAGTAATTATTGCTTTTGTTGTTCCGTGCTCTCTGCTTCCGTTTTATTTTATCTAGTTGTAGGTGGTTATAATCAATTCTTATGGCACAGGAAATAAACTCGAATGCACTGTTCATACAACAATAGGATGTCCACTTAAAAAAGATCAAAGGTTCCCGGCTGATTTCTTTCACTGCTGTAATTAATGTGAAAAACACATTACTGTGAACAAAGCACTCCAAAACAATTTAGTATCACATATCTGTTCTCAACTTTTTGGTTATTTATTCTTTATGGAATCAAGTCAGACAAGCGAAGCTATACTTTATGATTTAGTTAACATTATAACATTCATATTTAAACTGTATTTCATTAGTTACGTTCAAGTCTTGTTAGTTACATTAACAGAAACGTAGATACATTCGGATAGTCAATTGTTAATAGGCTCAAATGTACAGTTAGAATTTCACTGTTAGCCATCAATTATATTATGACCTACTTGCTAAAAGTTGTGTTCGCTTTTTGATTCGAGAACGCTTAGAAGAGCTTATACGTCTTAATCATTTATAAAGTTGTTATTTTATTTAATATTTTCTGTAGTGACAACGATATTTGCTTTCATCTTTCAGTTACTCATCATATTATCAAGGTGATAAAATCAATCATTTTACAATAAATAATTACCAAGTCTAAGATACTGAATGTCCTTATATCAAATATTAGTTACTATAGATACATTATTTTGATGTAGGTGTGGATAGTATATAAGGTCATTAGAAAATAACTAACATAAATTATTTGACTGGATATTAGTTGAATAAATAGAACTTTTTGGACTATTTTTTTTGGAAGAAATAAAGGAAACAAATTAACCGTTCAGTTTTCAAGATTCGTAAAGTTTATATATATGAGCTACAGTTAATAATTAAATTCAGTAGTTGAATTCATGAGTCAGTTGAAGCTAAACAACCATGGAAAACCTGAAAGCACTGGACAGCCATTTCGTCCTACTATGGGGCTCCTCAGAAGTACGCATCCACGATCCCGCCTCTCGATATTCGAACCCAGGACCTATCAGTCTCGCGCGCGAGCGCTTAACCTCTAGACGGAATCGTGAATGCGTACTACTGAGGAGTCCCATACTAGAACGTCCAGTGTTGATCTAGCTGCAAATGACCTATGAATTCAATCACTAAATTATTATATTATCCACAAAACCCCTCTCTGATTATAATATTTAAGTGTAAAAAAGTTGTTAAAAGCATGAAATCCAACAAAGCGATCCTCTCTCCAACGACTTCATTATTAAGTTGTACAATCGTATAAATATATATGAAAATCTTTGTCGAAGTATCGATCTCATCAAGACATATGTCTGTATGTTCACATACACACACAATCGTTTAATACTATTATTATATTCATATCACGTGTATTGGATGGTCCTATACTGAGCCCACATAGCTTATTCTAGCTTCGGAACAGATCAATTTATCCATTATTCTTGAGTCATGTTTTGTTCATGTTAATTCGCTTATCAACCTTGACTGTTCTTATGTGTATGCATGTACACTTCTTATCCTACTCATATGTCTGTAGCTAATTTTTGTGCGACTATAAATATTGACAAACGCTTGATTAAATGGAGTTGGCTCACACGCCTCGTCCACTGCGCGGCATTTCGCTTTACTCCCTTCGCTTTGTTTCTTCGATCGTTTGTCTCGATCAGAAATTGTACGGAATTATATGTATTCGTAATCCATTCTCGTATTTGACTTATTTAGTTACGTTATTCATTAACCCTATCTAAGTCGATAATTATATACGAGGATAGGCGACATATATATTTCGATAGCACTCATTCAATAGTAATAAATATATGATCTAATTGGAGTCAAATCACAGGCCACTAAACACGTAATCTAGTATTACAATCCTTCTATCACGTCATCATGTTTATTTCTTCTTTATATGTCTTCACGGAACTCATACTTTAATTTTAAAAAAACCTTCATATATATAATGAATTCGTTGAAATGAGATCTCTTTGCTGAATTTCATGTTTTTAATGTTTAAATGAGAATTATATGTCAATCAAGCAGTTAGATTATTTCATTAATGAAATACAGATTAGATTTTTTGGTGTGCACTGTTATTTCATGTGTCGACTGAACTTGTATCATCAAGATTATCAGCCTTAATAATAGGTTCTTCACTTAAATAAATAACGTGCTTTTATACGAATTAATAACAAAGAGATTCCATAAGCAAAGATGGATAGTGACTAGTAGTGGACTCCAGGACGCTCGTTTCGTCCAATTTTTGTGAAAATACAAGTAAAAAATACCAGTTTAAAAGATTCCATTATTAAATGTTGGAAATAAGTTAGGGAAAATAATCAGCTCTTCTATCAATTAAGACCTGACTATTAGTCATAACTTGCACTCATCATATCAATCAACTATTTTATGCTTTATCTGGAATGTATGCTTGTAAGATGATAGAAAATG